ATTAAGAATTACTTAGGCAAGTTAGAGGCAATGTTCCCTCTAATCTTTTCCATCTCTGTACAGATTTTTCCATCTAAGTGCAGAATAAATTTTGTTATATGCACCAAGGCTTGCATAAATGTGCACCACAGGAGAAACACAAATGAGCTGGGGGTGCTATGCTAATCAGCTGGGTGGCACTGGATTCTCTCCTGAGTGGTTGTGCAAGTGTACAGCTTACAGGGAACACTTGCTGAAGAAATTGCTGAGCCATTAGTGATTATCTGTGGGAACACGTGGAGGACAGGAAAGCTCCCAGAGCACTGGCAAAGGGCGAATATAAAACCTAGCTATAAAAAGAGGACTACAGGCAATCCAGGAATTATAGACCAGTTAGTTTAGCTTTGGTTCCCAGGAAGTTAATGGTCGTAACATTAAACTTCGTAAGCACACAGAAGATAATAAGGTGAGAGGAACAGTCAGCATAGAGTTGTCAAGAGCAAACCAATCCAATAGCCTTCAATGGAAGGGTAAGGAACCTTATGAATAGGGGGAAGCAGTAGATGTGCTATAGCTCAACTTGATGTATAACAACAGTAACCGTGTAAATGATCAAAATTCTGTTGGTTACATGTTTGCTTGGGGACCTAGGAGTACAGAAGGATGCTGGAGGGGTACCCCTGTGCCCAGGAAACTGCTGCTGGCCCCAAACCTGAGGCTCTGCCACCAGTGGGCAACCCAGTGTGCATAGGGTCCCAGCTGTCGCCGGCCCTGCACCTAAGGCATCCCAGCATACGTGCAGGCTCCCAGCTGCTGGCTCTACTCCTGGGGTCCTGGCTGCCAGCCCCGTGTCTGAGGCTCTGCTGCCACCCAGGACACTGTGTGCAGAGTTGGCGGCCCAGGATGCTGGGCAGCAGCAGAGCGCCAGGTGCGATAGCAGCAGAGACCCTGGCATGGGGCCATCAGCCAGGACCCCAGGAGTAGGGCAGCTGCACTGGATCTGGCCCACAGCCTGAAGGGACCTTGCCACAGCTCCGGCAGCCCATGGGAACACAAGGGTTGCTGGGTAGCAGCAGAGTCTGGGCATGAGGCAGCAGCCAGGAAGGAGAAGCCCCGGGAACGGCGTCGGCAGGCATGACCCGAGGCAGAATTTAATCTTTAACGGAAACTAGCGCGCATCAGGTGATCGGTTAACCAGTTAAATTCTTACATCCCTAAGTGGGCTACTGTTTTGCATGACCTACGACTAAGCAAACCAAGGAAATACAGCCTTGATAAGCCTACTGCGAGGTGGGTGCACAACTGGTTGGCATGATCATACTCAAAGACTAGTTATCAATGGTTCACAGTCCGGTGGGAAGGCCTTATGAAGTGGCCAGTCCCACAGGAGTCTGTCTGGGGTCTGGTTTTAGTCAATATTTTCATACATGATTTGGATAACGACAATTAGAGTATGTATGTACAGTTTGTAGCTGATGCCACGCTGGGAGGCATAGCAAGCAATCTCCTTGGAGGTCAAGATTAGAATTTTAAAAAATTACTCCTCGTGCCTCAGTTGCCCTTCATGCTACCACGTCCCACAGTTTGAGATCTGCAGGTGAAAAGCCCTGTATGGTCTCTGTCCAGCACCCCTCAAATCCAACAGGAAGTGTTCCACAGACTTCAATCTGGCCCCATAAGAGTGACAGGTTAGGGGGACCCCATCCAAGAGGGATGCACATACAGCAAAATGGCTCTTATGGGGCAGCTATTACATATGGCACATAACCGGGTAAGCCAACATCCTCCTGGGCCTCTGTTTTGGGGCACGAGAAAGCCACTGACCACGCCTCCTTGCCCCAAAACCAAGGCCTGGGTACTGCCTTACACCCTTTGGGTCATACATAATAAACCGCCTTTCTAACTTGCGTGAAATCCTTCCTCGGACTTAAGAATTGACGCTAAGCCTCTCAAATTCTGCTTTGTTCCCTTTTCCCTTCCCCTCTGCCTCTTTTCCCATTTTCTCTCACCTCCCCGTCCTCCTTTTTTACCCCCTTCACTCTCGTCTTTCTCTATAAATTCCTCTCCCTCTCTTCCAGGATATCATAGGCAGGGGAAGGCACAGCCTTCCCAAACCATCAGCCTGGCCCCACCCACACTCCGCCCCCAGAACGCCCACTGTAGGCATACTGGGGATGGAGTGTTACTGCCCCCACCTCCCACCATGCCCATGCTCCAGGACTGGGGAGGTTGGGGCCATACACCTTCCACCCTCCCCGTGGTGCTGGGGAGGGGTTGGGCTGCATGCTGCCCCATGATCCTGTGGTGGAGGGGACCGGGCCTGGGCAGAAGAGGCGGGGCTGGGCTTGCTTGTTTCCCCCAGCCCTACCTTCACCCACCGCTCATGCTCTCTTCTCTCCTAGCACCTCTGACCCCCTTTTCTCCCTCTCCTATGTAGCAATCTACAGCTGGGTGACATTCACTAAGGGAATGTGATTGTGACCTAGCTAGTTCAGGGCCCAACAGAGAGCACGGCAGCCACCCAAATAATACCCCATGTTCCTGCTGGGCTTCCCAAGGCCAAGAGGAAGTCTGTCCTACCATAGTTTGCTGCTAGGGTGTGAGCTCTGGACTTTAGCTCCAGGTTAGCCAAGCTTGCTCAACAGGGCAGGTGCCTTGGGCCCACCTGAGACCTGGGAGTCACACACTTGGCTTCCTTCTGCCCTTTTATTGCCAACAGAGGCGTGGCAGAAGGGCAGGGCAGTAATTGAGCTATCGAGTGCAGAGGGCGTTATTGCAAAGCCGCGTCTGACCTGCCTCTAGTCAGCTGATTTGGCAGAGTTGCACAAACACCTTCGGACGGCAGCAGGAGACGCATTTCCCAGGGCGGCTCGGCACGGCTCCATAAAGAGCTCATGGCTGGAAGGCGATGAGAACCTCGTTGGCGTTGGCTCTTGGGAGACCGAGCGCCTGCCCTAACGCCGCGCCTCCGTCGCTCGGCAGCATGAATTCCAGGCTTGCAGCCCCACCTCTTTACACCAGCCTCTGGGACTTCGAGGCCAGGACACCAACAGAAATCAGTTTCTGGGCAGGAGAGCTTTTCCAGGTCACCCGGTGTGAAGGAGAATGGTGGTGGGCCAAGAAAGTCGATGGCTCACACAAGGTCCTGGCCGAAGGCTACGTGCCTTCCAATTACTTAGCTGAGCGGGAGACAATGGAAGCCGAACCGTAAGTAAAACCCTGCCGGGGTCAGCGACTTCACCCCCCTTTCATGCTGGAAGAGAAGTGGGATTTGGGTCTCTCAGCCACATGGCAGTTTAGCTGAGCCAAGCAGGTTGGTGTTTGCCTTGGCACCTGCTTCATATAAAGGGGCTTGGGTCTGTATGGGAACCTACAGCCCTTTTAGGAAGGTCTGGGTTGCAATGAAACACCCAGGCTGTTAGCCAGGGCAGCTGTGTAATACCCCCCAGGGGCCAGGCTAGAGAGAACTTATGGCTGACACCCATGTGCCCCATAGTCAGCAGAGCCGACAGCCTCCCTGGGCAAGGTGGGGGGGGGGGGGCAGCGCTGCACTCCTGAGAGGGGCGGGGCTAAAAAGAGAAGGGGCGGGGCTGAAGGCTGCCAAGTCCTTAGCACTGCCCAGACCACACCATGCAGCACTCCAGCAGCGATTTAAAGGGCCCAGAGGAACTGCTCCTTTTGCTCCCTCTGTCCCGTTGCTGGTCCTGCCTGCAGTGGATGACGCAGACGGCCTCTGGAAGGGAAGCAGGAAGGGCAGGATATGTGGGGCCCAGATCTCCGGCATGCGCTGGCTACCTTTGAGCCATACCAGTGACACGGAGCTGCCTTGGGGTGAAACTTCCTGGCCTAAATCTATGTCCAGGGCGTTGGGGTCAGGGTACTGCCCAAAGACAATACAGCGACCTCACAAGGAATCATAGATGCTGAAAGAGACTGGACCTCCCTTAGCGCGAGGAGCATGTTGATAGAGCGGGAGCAGAGTCCTGTTCACTGAAGCAAGTTCTTGGTGGTTGGAGGTGCAGACCAGTGATACTGCGAAGACTCTCATTGGCCCCCGAGTTAGAGTAGAGCTAGGTAGGCTGGTGCAGAGATCTCCCCCTCCCCCGCCATGCGTGCAGACATAGAAAGACTCAATGTCAAGACAAGTTTGTTTTCTCTCCTCTTCCAGCTGGTTTTTTGGGCAGATCTCACGTTCCGAGAGCCTACGCAGGCTGCTGTCAGGAGAGAACAAGACAGGGTCCTTTCTAATCCGCATCAGTGAGAAAAAAGAAGCTGCATATGTGCTTTCAGGTAAGTCTATTTCTCTTCCTTTTTCTCGCCCGCTCTGTAACAAAACACCAGTCTTAGACATCTGAATATGAGATTTCAGTTTCTGGATTATTTAGTAACTTCACAGGAGCCAGCTATACTAAAGAGAGACACAGTCCCTTTTTTTGAATTGGCTAAACTGGAAGAACTCTCCCTTTAAAGCACCCTGGCATTCGGTGGCATGTCTTGGTTGCTTTTTAAATTCCTTTTTTTTTTTTAAGGAAAGTTTTTTTCTTCTTTCCTTGTTGCTATTGATAAGGCCTTTTCCCTGCAGTAGAGAAACTGATTAGCTAGTTACTCTGGGGAAGTGGTGAAACTGACCCTAAGCAAACTTTGTCATGCTGAAAATACACCAGTACCTCTTCCAGCCATTTCTTTCCTGTACAGTGATCTTGGTAGGTACGAACATTTTGGAAAGAAGCATGCTTGGCTGGGTAGGGTGTCTCTTTTAAAAAAACACAGGTGACCACTCTTCCTTGCATGGTACAGAAATCACATGGTATAGATTCAACCTCAAGCCAAATACACAGGGACAGCTTGGAATTACAGTACATATGCACATTCAATGCAATTACTAATGGACTTAATCAAGATATGGGGTGGTGGACCCTTTATCACTGAAGGTGCTGACAGCTTTCTGAATGCTGTCCTTCCTGCCTTAGCAATCTATCCACTGACTCGGATCTTTATCTACTCAGGGTTAGCACCCTTTCTCCTGATACTTTATGTATAGAGGTAGGGGGGTGGGCAACAGAGCATCTTTCTCCCCCCCCCTTCCCTTCTCCTATTTATTTCGAGTTTTCTTATCCCCTAGTCATAACTCCCGTCATCTGAAGAAGTGGGCTGTGCCCACGAAAACTCATGATACCATCTACATGTTTTGTTAGTCTATAAAGTGCTACCAGACCATTTGCTTGCTGTTTTGTTCAACCTAGATCAAACACAGTGACAGTTTTTCCTTTGAGCCAGCTAATTGAGATCCAGACATTGAAACCTCATCTCCCACAGAACGACGGCTAGACGTAGTGATTCCAAACATCTCCGTTACAAGCGGACAACAGTAAAATTTGCAGCATGAAGTTCCAATGATTAATCTGCAGCTGCTGCACAAAGCCGTAGGACAATACCTACCAGGAAACAGAGAAAAAATAGCTCAGATGTTTGCCAGTAATGGGTGATTTAAGTTAAGGTCAGGGCCTTAAATGTAAACATGTATTTAAACCCAAGAAAACCAGTTTCAGCTGAAACCGGGGCTTGTGAGTTCCAGGGAGATGTGTTGGAGGGCATGTGTCTAACACAGGTGTACACTGGGTCAATGTGCAGCCAGGAACAAGGATTAGAAACACAAGATAAGAGGACACTGGATTAGTCTTTGGAAGTGGTTGAAAGGAACTGACATACTAACATTTCTGAATGCATTGCTAGTCATCACAAATGCACGTTCTCGTCAGATGCATATTTGGTTTATTTCAGATCCCGGAAGAGGGGCTGGAACAATTTGTATAGTGAGAGTACTGAGAGCCATTAAACCGAACTGTAAACCGTGTATCTGGTGGAACCCCCTTCAAGCCAGGGGGGGCTGTAGCATTTCCCACGCCTCTAATTTCAGCACCAATGGTTCACGGAGTGCGCAAGAGGTTTTATAGACACTTTATGGTAGACACATCCTCTGTCTCCAGGGTTACAAACATGATTACATTAAGGGCTTTATTGTGGCAGCTTGCTCCTCCCCCCCCCCCTGCTACAAATATGCATAACAAAATATATTAGACAAAATATTTCACGTAACCTATCAATTTTAATGTCACAATCTGCTGGGAGTTGTATATCTTATGTTGGTGTTTGTACCACGCTTGTGTGTAAAGTTAGAGATATTTGGTAGGGCATGCTTTATGGTTTTAAATGTGCAACTGAAAGCCAGCAAGGGTGTTTCCCTCAATGTCTGAGTGATCACCTGTAAGCAGCCTCTTTTGTCCAACCAGTGGTTGATCTTAGGAAGACATGTGACCACCCCAACTGGTAGGGTCTGACCATGGAATTTTCCATGGAAGGGGAGAATGTGAAACAAAGAAATCCTGCCCAAAAGGAAAGCTATTTAAGATGCAAAGTTTTCAGGCTCTTTATTTTTGGACTGGCATGAGACTCCCAAGAGAATGAACCAGATACCCCAGGGGAAAAGGTCTTCTCTGACTTGGAGGTTTAGCTGAAATAAGAACAATTTTAGGGTAAGTTTGTACTGAACTTTTACTGTGTTAGAACTCGTCAGGCATCTTCGGTTATTTTGAATTTGTAATTCACTTTGCTCTGCCTGTTTTCACTTGCAACCACTTAAATCAGTGGTTCTTAACCTCTTTGGCACTGTTACCCCTTAAGGTTAACCAACAAACCAAAATTACCCCTCCTTTTTAAAAAGGCACTAGACAAAAAGAAAATTCCGATTAATCATTTTTATTGTATTTTATTTTCTCGTACATTATGCTGAACAAAATTGAACACCTATTGTATTTTAAACTTATTACCCCTCGAAATATGCCAAGTTACCCTTCGAGGGGTAATTACTCCCAGATTAAGAACCCCTGACTTACATCCTGTTGTTTGTACTTAATGAAATCACTTTTATTTCCATAAGCTCCAATAATTGTTACCTGGAGGAGCAATCAGCGTGTACCTTTCCTCTTTCATTGTTAAAGAGGGCTTATCTGAATGATATATTTGGGGTTCTGAACCCATTTGGGGAGTGGGTTTCCTGGAAGCTTGGCCCAAAACTGCGTTCTCCTCAGACCTGAAGAGGTTCAATATCTGTATTGATCTTTGCGGGAGCAGTGATCTCATCTCTGTGCCTTGGCTGGGAAAGACCAGGAGATCTGGCCCAGCAGGACTGGGTGGTGAGAAGCCCCAGAAGAAGGAGGCAAGTTCCAGGCTATTTCTACACAGTAGCATTATTTCGAAATGACTTGATCTGCGTTTACACCGCAAGCAGTTCTTTTGACATAATGTTGATATACTGTCAAGCTGGAGGACTGCTTACTCCAACTCCTGTCACCCTCATTTTACAAGGAGTAAGGGAAGTCTAAGGAAGAGTGCTCTCTCTCAGATTTTCTGCTGTGCAGACAGCACCAAAAGCCGAATTAAGCGATTTCGACTTAAGCGATGCAATGGACATAGCTTGAGTTGCATAGCCCTGCTGTGTAGACGTACCCTCAGTGGCTTTGTCAGCACACCGGGAAGCACTCCCAAAGTGATCTTTTGTGACCGCACCCCATCACACTTCTTTTCAAAGCACCCGCCATTCGGGAGTCAATGAGAGGGACAGATTGTTCCCCCCCAGACCTAAGTGAAAGCAAGCTGGTGATTGTACTTAAAAATCACCCCCTTTGATTCTGAAGCTGATGCGCAGGAGGTAGGCAGACCTGGTACAAATCCATACCTGTCTGTCACCTGCGGAGGTGTGTGGGGAATGACTTACTGCCTTCTGGCATCGTGTCAGTTCCTGGAATGGGAAGGAAGCCACATATTTAGTAACTGCTTTGCATGGTGGGTGCCTTCTGTCTCTTTCTTCCTTGACTTCACAGTTCGGGATGACTCAATTGTGAGGCACTACAAGATCTGGAGGAACGCCCAGGGGCAGCTCTACATGAACGCTGCGCTCTCCTTTCCGGATCTGCTCAGCCTCGTGGAGCATTACAAAGCAAAGAACCTCTCCCACGGCCTCAAGATGACAGTCCCCTGCTGGAAGGTAAACCTGAGCCAGCCAAGAACTGCGGGGTTGATGCTTGTGGTGGGATTGTTCGCGGGTGTGTGAGTCAGGAGATGGCTGGGCAAGCTTGAGGTCTTCTGGCATGAAGGCTTGGAGGTCAGAAGGGCTCAAGAGAGGGATGACTGGGTGAAATTCTATGTCCTGTGTTATGAGAAGGTCCGATGGGCTAAATCGTTGGGTGAAGTTCTCTGGTTTGTGCTGTACAGGATTGCTTAAAATCTATCAGTTAGACCAGGAGACTTGAAATGAGAAGCGAGAGAAGCCTCCATCTTTGGGGCACAACGTGAAACCTACCTGTGCCTCAGTTTCCCAATCTGTAACACAAAGGCTATGTCTACACTCGCGGCTTCTGGTGCAAGAACATCTTGCGCAAGAAACCGTCCACACTGCCATGTGCGAGCTGTGCTTTTGCGCAAGAGCGCCCATGGCAGTGTGGACGCTTTCTTGTGCAAGAAAGCTCTGGTGGCCATTTTAGCCATAGGGCTTTCTTGCAGAAGAAATCCCTGCTGAGCATCCACACTGCCCTGTTGCGCAAGAGGGCTTACCCCTGTCAAAAAAGAGCATAGCTCTTGCGCAAGGAGCCTTCTCTTACCACGCCGTACTGTAAATTTACTTGCGCAAGAGCGGGTGGGCAGTGTGGACGCTCTGCAGATTCTTGCACAAGAACGGCTGTACTTGTGCAAGAAGCCGCGAGTATAGACATAGCCAAAGAGAATAAAACCCGCCTTGGGGACATCAGCAAGGAGCAGATGTCATATAAGCACAGAGGGGCAGATGTTAAAGGCATTTAAGTGCCTGGAGAGACAGATAAGCACATAGTAGCATTTTCAAGAGTTGTTCAATGGGTGAACCTCCCAACTGTCATTGAAATCAATAGACATTAGATCTGTTTTGGCATTTATCTGCATCTTCAGGGGCCTAAAAACCGTTGCCAATCTGGCCCCAAGTATTCTTATTGCCAGGTGATGCATGAGTTGACACACTTATACCGTGGCAAAAGATACTGTGGTCTAGATAATACTTGGTCCTGCTGTGAAGGCAGGGGGTTGGACTAGATGACCTCTCCTGGACCCTTCCAGTGCTACGATTCTGTGATTCTGGGACTTCAGTCAGAGGTTACAGGCCTGTGGCAGGAGTTTGTAGGTGAGATTCTGTGGCCTGCCATGTGCAGGAAGTCAGAAGAGAAGGTCACAATGTTCCCATTGGACCTTAACGTCAGAGAGTCCATAAGGAACTGGATAACATGCCTGGTCATGATGGAATCCAGGAGCTCAATTTGATTTAGCTCAGCAAAGAGACGGTTAAGAAGTGTCTGGATAACACCCTGTAAGACTCTGCATGGGGAACAGAACTTTGACAACATTTTCAGACTGAGGTCTTCTCACAAGAGCCATTGGCTGGATGTTGAAGCTCGACAAATTCAGACTGTAAACAAAACATCTTTTTTTTTTTAACGGTGGAACACTTTACCACAGGCTGGGGTGGAGTCTCCATCATCGGCCATTTTAAATTCCAGATTGGGGTGGTTTTCTAAACCAATATGCTCTTGTTCAAACAGAAATAAATTCAGGGAAATCCCATGGCCTGTCATATCCAGGAGATCATGCTTGTTAATCACAATGCTTCCTTCTGGCCTTATCAATCTGTGAATGAGTAAACAAATCAGCCACTGACACAGAAATGCAGACTTCCTGCCAATCGAACACTGCCATCTAGTGACTGCATGTATATGATAGACTCCTGGAAGAACTCTGCATCACTGTGTGCACGCAGCATTAGTGTCCTTTGCAGATTTCTTTGCTTCCCAACAGAAAAATGGGGAAGCAAAGAAAACTGTGGGGAACACAAGCCCCTTTCCAGGCAGCCTGGGGATGTCTCTTCAAACACCTGGAGCAACTGGTGAGATATAAATCACTGTCAGGCAGGCAGGGCTGGTCATGTATGTGACTGAGTGAGTGAGAGAGACTCTGTCCCTTTTGCTCAATATTGGGGCACATCCAGCATTGTGTGGAGAGAGGCCCAAGGCATGCTGTACCCCCTCAAGCAGAGCACAGAATGCAGTTGCCTGCCTGCTTAGTTGTTAATACTCCGATTGTTGTTATTATGTTGTTGCCATTCTTAATTTCCCCAAGATCATAAAACAGGTGTAAATGTTTTAAGCTCTTTCACATTTCCACAGTGGTGTACAGGAGCCTTATTGTACATGACACAGAGGGGCACCTCAGCTGGGAAGATCTATGTGTTTTCTTGCTTTTGTCCTCTGCCCAAGTGGCACGATGGAGTTAGATTAGACCTCCAGTCTTATTTTACATACCTATTTTAAAAAGAATTTGAGGGCAAATAGGATATTTACCAAGCAGCCAATAAAATGTCAGGACAGTCCAAACCAAGCACTTCCCCAAGTAGCCAGCCAGGTCCAGATGAAGTTCCTAAAGGGCAAAGGAATAGTCGTCTTTGTGCATGACATGACTGACCTTCGCATCCTGTGCTGCAAATGGCTACACCAGCTTCTCGTGCTCGAGAATTCTCTACCCAGCTGCAGGCAGAGGGGGACAAATTATTTTGTGCACCCTGCAAGGTTGTTCTCAAATCACGGTCCATGGTGTGTAATTTGTTGTTCATTTTGCCTCAAAAAAAAACCCAACCCCCCCACAAACTGAAGGAAGATACAGCTCAAGAGGAAGACAGAAACAAGAATGCTGAAAAACAAAACACAGATGGAGAAAGAACATGTGCGGGTGAGTGGAACTATAAGAAAATGTTATGATACAGAAAAAAAAGTAGCTTAGAAGTGCTATAGTGAAGGGGTCTCTTCACTTGCTTGGAGATCTTGAATAGACAGCTGTTTTTAAAAGTTTTTTTTTAAAGATATGACTAAGGTCTGGTTTTTGTTGCTAATACACTCTACACTACATCACTTTTGCACTTTCACGTGTTGTTTTACCAATAATTATAATTTAATAAGGCACTTTCATTATTGTGTGTGAGCCGCCTTGATTAGAGGCATAAGCCGAATCATTAAATAGTACAATCGACATGTAATCATGATTGTTTACTATATTACAAATCTAAATTACAATTGAGGCATCCAGAACTAAATATAGCAAAATGCAGGACAATGTAGCACTTTAAAGACTAACAAGATGGTTTATTAGATGATGAGCTTTCGTGGGCCAGACCCACTTCCTCAGATCAAATAGTGGAAGAAAGTAGTCACAACCATATATACCAAAGGATACAATTAAAAAAAAGAACAAATATGAAAAGGACAAATCACATTGCAGAACAGAAGGACTAAAGGAGTAACTCATCAAATACCAAACAGCTCTGCACCATGCTTTGAGCTAATAGCTTTATTTCCACACACCACCCAGGGTTCTAGGAGGAGGGTCCTTTTTTTGCTAACACAATGAGGCCAGCACTTTGTTTGTTTTGGTGGAGTCTTTGTTTGCCCAGGGAGCCCAGCATGTATAGGGGGAGGAGGGGCGGAGAGGCTGCTTTTGTCTGCTGTTCATGTGCGGGAGTTGCCTCACCCCGTTCGTATCTAGGGATCTGACGTAAGTCGGATCCACGTAAGTTGGGGACTGCCTGTAGTGTGTTTTTCTCCCAATGAGTAATAAAGATGAGGGAAAACATTTTAAATAATTTTAAAATTTTAAAACTTACGTCGGATCCCTACATACGAACGGGGCTTTTCTCGCTGCAGAGGACGGGGGCGGCGGGACCACCCAGACGCGCCGCGGTCCCGCCACCTGCGTCCTCCGTGGCGAGAAAAGTTGCTCCGCGTCTCCCTGGTCTGCTGCTGCGCCCCTCCCCGCCCCCCAGCAGACCAGGCTTTTCTCGCCACGGAGGACGCGGGCGGAGGGACCGCGGCGCGTCTGGGCGGGCCCGCCGCCCCCGTCCTCTGCGGCGA